TATGTATCTTTTATTATTTTCTCAGTAAAGTTTTGCATATACTGTATTGCGCTTTTGACTTTTACAAAAGTTAAAATGATGTAATAGGTAGATCAACAAATTTTTCAGGTTAAATTTTCTATTGTAATTTCTTCGTACTTTTTTGTAAAATTTATTTTTTGAATACATAGTTTTTTCGTTTGTTTTTTTAATTAAATATTTATTTATGTTATCGTTTGACTTTAAAACTAAGATTAAAATGGTATTTAAATGTAAAGAGTATTTTTGTTGTTAATATGTAACGTTAATCAAATTTCTAAGCCACCATTCAAAACGTCCTTATTGTGCGAATTTCGAATTGCAAAAAATTTTTTTCATCTTTAATAAACATTTTGTTTTTCAGAAATATTACAAGAAAATATGTCCAATTATTTTCATGTTGTTTAGTTAAATGAAGTTGCTTCAAAAGTAATTAGCTTCCAGTATTCTTTTATCTGATCGCAGGAATTCTTTTAAGATATTAACTATTGGAAATTCAAGAGTCAAAGTTCAATATTACTACCATATAATACTCTTAATGTAGGGGGCCATCCGAAACTGCCTCTATCAAAAATGTAGAAAAATTTCGAAATGTTATAGTATAATCTAATATTAAATAATCTATCTTATAATATTATTGCTAAATAATTATATTTGCTACGGTATTTACCTTCGACTTGAAACTGGTTATATCAGATATATGTTGTAATTTGATATAATTTATGAGTATAAATGTTAATATATGGTATTATGAAAAAAAATTTTTTAACAGTAATTCAACCGTTGTCATACGTTTATTCCTTTTTTATTGTTTGAATATATTTTTTAATTTTTTTAATACACTTTTACCATTATTGTTATTGTCGGTATTTTATAAATTTAAAGAAAAAAGGATTTAAAAAAATTTTTTTTTTAATTTGTCCCAACAATTTATGAAACGGAAAGGTATGAATGTGATGTGTGGTTGGCGCAATAATTTATTTATCACCAGGCTTCGCGCCTTAATTTTTTATAAGTATTTCAGATTTAGTTAAGAAACCTATTCGTCACGCCCCCTAGAATCACCATCAAGAAAAAGCGTCATCATTGAAACTTCAACTTCCCCAGCAACACCATCAAAAAAAGCTCGGGTCATGTGATTAAATGTGTATAATGGGGCTAATTTTAATAAACCAACCTTACCATAATCCCACATCACAAGTAAACCAACCCTTAACTTACCTAACCCTAATGCCATGCCACGCCACAAGTTGAGGAGTGACAAATAGGTTTTCATACCCTAAAAAAAATTCCGTTCCTGATTTAATTAAGGATAGAATAATTGTCTTTTCATTTACAAGATTATTGACTGCAACAATATTGAAAATAAGGTTCAATTTTTATTATAATTTTTATAATTAAATTCTTTTTAGTTCTTTATGTATTAAAACATATTTAACGAAGTGATATTTAGAAATTAGAAAATACAAAAGAAAAAAATTACCAACTATTACTACTCTAAAAAGGTCCAAGTTAATGACCTATGACCTACTCGAATTTAAGGTTATTGACCATGACCTACATACAAAGTTTATATGCAGATGTAAAGAGATTTTTAAGTACACTTAAATATATAAGCTTAACCCGAATCAATTTGGTTGAATCGTATTACACAATGGCCAGATAAAAAAAAAGAAAGAAGTCATTTTGAGTTCAGATTAGCCTATATGCCCTATATGCCTCTGTATTAAATTTTATAAGAATATATACAATGTATATTTTTTAAATAGTTTTTCAATTATAAATTCTTAAAAAAATTATTGATCCTGTAATGATCCGATGGGAATAGTCTGTTGATATTTAAAAAAGTAAACTCAATTTTTGAAAGTTTACATGTTTTTATTTATTT